TGGGACCCTGATTTTCCGTCCTGCACACACACACACACACACACACACCCCCCCCACATTCCTCGGACCCTGATTTTCCGTCCTGCACACACACACACACACACACACACCACCCCCACACTCCCCGGACCCTGATTTTCCCTCAACTCCCCCCCCACCCCCCCCACATTCCTCGGACCCTGATTTTCCGTCCTGCACACACACACACCCCACACACACACCCCATACACACATTTCTGGGACCTTGATTTTCCGTCCGGCACACACACACACACACACACACCACACACACATTCCTCGGACCCTGATTTTCCGTCCTGCCACCTCCTGGGGGCCGGGCCTCCCACACTTGCAAGTCTAGCTCCGCCCCAGAGCCGCCCCGTCCCCCCGCCCCGCAATAAACCCAGCCCCGGATGCATGCGCGGCACACTGGTCGCTGCCGTCGCTGGCCGTGGGACCTCGGCCGCCTGTGAGTATCCCCGCTCCTGTCTTTCCTTTCTCCCTCTCCTGCTCCCTCCCCGTCTTTCTAGACTCCCCTGTTGAGGAGCCTTTGCGCGCAGCCTTCCCTCTTCTGCAGTACAGCCTCTGGGTCTTGCACGTGAAGACTTGGGAGCAGATGTCCCGACGCCTCTCGGTCCCCGCAGGTTCTTGGAGAGGTCGGAGACTGGTACTGGAGAGAAGGACAAAGCCTGGCCGAATTTCCAGGGCACCCATGGCTACTGCACGGGGGCAGGGCCGGGCCAAGGAACTTGCGAGACTGCAAAACTGGGGCAAGTGTGGCAGAAGAGAGAGGGGTGGGAATTCGGGCACGAGCACGGGGTGCGGCGCGGAGGTGGGAGCCCGAGGCGCGCGGGCACGCGCGGGCGCCGCACTAGGGCCCCTTCCTCCGGTCGTGGGCCCCGCCGGCACCGCCCCTGCCTCTGCCGCCAGACCCCTCCACGGGGCTTCTGGACTCGGGGAGAGTCCACAGTTCCCAGCGGCTGCCTTTTTTGGAAGAGGGACAAGAAAATGTGGAATCTAAAAACGTCGAACTCAAGGACAGAGAGTGGCGGTTACGAGAGGCTGGAAAGAGGGAATGGGGAGTAGTCGGTCAAAGGGTGCAACGTTTCCCGTAGACAGGAGGAATAAGTTTTGAGATCTGTCGCACAGCAGTGACGATAGTCAATAATAATGGATTGTATGTTTTTAAATGACTAAGAATTTCGAATGTCTCACCATGAAAACGATCGGTCAGCGAGGTGATCGATATGTTACTTAGCCTGCTTTAATCATTCCACGTTGTATACATATATCAAAACATACTGTACCCATAATCGTGCACGATTATGATTTTTCAATTAAAAATAATATTAATTTTAAAAAGAAAAAGGAACAGCCGGTGTGCGGATTGGTCTGTCCCAGTGTCCCCCCCACTTGCAATGCGTAAGGGTCCCCTCCAGGCTACAAGGCACAGGCCGGGGGACAGAGTGAAATCGCCCGCCGCTGCGGGCTCACTCCTGGGGAAGGCGCGGCTCCCAAGTGCTGCGGGGGGCTCGGTCCGAGCCGAAGGTCTTGAGCCGAGAGCTCAGGGCAGCCTTAATCATCTCCTCACGGTTTTGCGCGGGGGCAAGTGTAAAACTCAAATCCTTTATTTCCCCGCTGGGGTCAAAGAAAGTTCGCACCTGAAAATGGGGCGGAGCAGCGGCGCCACCCGGTGGTTTTCTGGTGTCCCTAAGGCTGTGTGTCTTAGAACGCGTGGCTCTATGCATCCGAAAGAGGTGCATGGACTTCTTTCTATTCGGTTATTTGATGCTTTTTCTTGGGATTCGCTTCATGCGAGGTGAGCAACTGGGAATATTGGCACGTCCTGTAGCTATTCAGTGCCCTAGAAAAACTCTAGCCAAGAAGTGGCTGTGAAGAATTCGTGTGTCAAGTTACATTTTTTCCTTGCCTTAGAGGTTTCTTTAAGCCTAGGCTTTCTCATCTGTACATTGGTGTATTAGTCCGTTTCTGTTGCTTATACCAAAATACTTGAAACTGGGTAATTTATAAAGAAAACTACATTTATTGCTAACAGTTTCAGAGGCTGGGATATCCAAAGTCCAGGGAACACATCTGGTGAGGGTCTTGGCGGTGGTGACAGTGACCCAGGGGTCTCACATGGCAGAAAATGGTGGAGCAGAGAGAGACTAACCTCTCATATACTCTCCTCTTAAAGCCCTCAGAACCAGGCCCCTGACCACCATTATTAATCCATTCACTAGGCACGGTCCTACAATCTAATCACCTCTTCAAAGCCCCACCTTTCAATTACCATAATAGGATTTCCCACCCTCAACAGTTACAGTGGAGATTAAGTTCTGGGGGGGACATTCAACCTAAGGCAATTGGTAATGACAACAATGCTTACCTTACAGGCAAGTTATGAGGATAAAATGAGATAATACATATGAAGTGCTCAGAGCAGCACCAGAAACATAGTAAATACTAAATGAATGTGGTTGGCGTTAAATGATAACGATGGAAAGTATTATGGCAGCGCTGTCTGGCCTCAGTGCAATGGCTAGGGAATGGCAAGAATCCAGTCACTTCATGGCAGTTGACTATATGTTTACTGTGTTCCAGGTGCTTCAGGATGGTTCGTGCTAAGAGCTGGACCCTAAAGAAGCTCTTTGTAGGCAATCCTACTAGTAGTAACTTTGAGTTGAAGACAACTGAGCTCCCACCTTTAAAAAATGGAGGTAAGTCATACTAATAAGATTTCATAGTTGGAAGGGACTGTATCAACCTTTGCTGTATAACAAACTACCCCCAGAGTTTAGTGACTTCAAACAACAATCATTTATTAGTTTATAATTCTGTGGGTTGGCAATTTGGGCTTGGTTAAGCTGGATGGTGGTAGGTATCGTCTGGGCTAAATGGTCAGTTTAGGATGGGCCTCACTCACGTGTCGGGTGACTAGCAGGCTTTCCACTGGGTGCATGCCTCAGCTCTCCTTTATGTGGCCTTTCTACCAGGCTAGCTTGAGCTCTGTTCTCTATTGATCCCACAGATCTAGAGCAGCAGAAGTTGACAAGCTCCAATGTGCAAGCACTTTTCAAACCTCTACTTGTATCATATTTGCTAATATCCCATTGGTCAGAGCAAGTCACATAGCCAAGCGCAGATTCAAGGGGTAGGAAATAGATTTCTTGATGGGAGGAGTGGCAAAGAAGCCAGCACACAAGAGTGGGAGGGATTTGTGGCCATTTTGCAATCTGCCACAGAGACCTTTTCAGGATTCTCTGTGTTATGCCTCAATGTCATGTTGCAGGATCCCTCTGCTTCCACTGAAAATTGAAACTCACACTTGAGTGCATTACTATTTATGGCTTTGACAGACTGTGGGGAGGATGTCCTCTCTGTCCTGATGAGCCCAATGACAGTGGGGTAAGCACTGCCCAGCAGCCATGTGCAAAGTTCAGACTATCACGGGTGACTGTAAGGGGTGTTCTCAGGTGGGTAAGCTTTTGAGGAAAGGGGATGCAATCGAGAAGCATGGCAAAGCTGTCTGTCCCGTCTAAGTTGTGATGGCCACACTTGGGTTGAAAATTGCAGAGAATGTGTGCATGATGTGTATGCATATGCATCCACATATTCTTTAATACTAACTGAAGCTGCTAATGAAACCCTACGTGAGCCTTGTAACATAATGCTTATAAATGTGGCTCTGGGCAAGTTACTTAACCTAAACTTAAATAAAACAGAAGCAATAATTGTCGAGAACATCAAATGACATAATCCATGTAAAGCATGGAGTAAGTGCTGAGTAAATTACATCATCATCATCATCATCATTAACTGGGCTGGGCTAAATGTGAGGATCTTTCTTGTTTCTTCAATAGAAAGCACAGATGAGAAGGTAACCCTGAAGCAGAAATATTGTCTGTTTATTTAGAGTGTCAGAAACAGCAAAGGCATCAGGACTTTAGTTTCTAATTGCCTGTGGAATGCTTTATTTTGTAGAGGTCCTGCTTGAAGCTTTGTTCCTCACGGTGGATCCTTATATGAGGTAATATTTTCTCCAAAAAATTCTTATGTTGTGTGTTAGATGCTATTTTGAAGCTTTTAAATTATCCAACTGGGGGGCTGACCAGTTAGCTCAATCGGTTAGAGCAAGATATTATAACACCAAGACCAAGGGTTTGGACTCTGTACCAGCCAGCTGCCAGAACAAACAAACAAAATATTTTTAAATGCAAAAAAAAAAAAAAAAAATTTAAATATCCAACTGATTCAAAATACTGCCGTTTTCCCTTTCTGTCCTGTACCAGCCAGCTGCCAGAACAAACAAACAAAATATTTTTAAATGCCAAAAAAAAAAAAAAAATTTAAATATCCAACTGATTCAAAATACTGCCGTTTTCCCTTTCTGTTTCTCCCAGCATAGCATCACTGATGGGATTCCTGGATGCTCATTTTTTATAGGTGAAGGTCTGAGAAGCTTGGTGAGGGAATCACCTTGGTCCTTTTATTTTACAACCATCTCCTATCTGCTGTGCACAATTTGCCTTTCATTGCTCACCAAAATTGCTTCCAGAAAAAAATTAAAAGAAAAAAAGAAGCCAAAGCCCAATTTGTCCATTTTACTATTAGCAAATAATTTGGATAGAGGAAGATGCTAAGACTAAAATCAACTTTTCTTGCCCTCTATTTACCCGTATTCTTTTAATTCAGGTAGTCTGCACTTGACTTCTCAGCAAACAAGTCAGGGAGGGGAGGGAATAAAAAGCCTTCACAGGCCACTAAGTCCGTTGTAATCTTTTGCCTACGTAAATATAGCTGTCATTCTTTTAAATACTTTTTTCATAGCTGATTGATAAATATTCAAATTTCAAGTGAAAAATACAGTTTAAAAATGTTGATTAGCATCCCTTTTTGTGTGGCCACTGTTTTGGGGTAACATGTATCCATGTTACCGGACTCAGGTCTGGCTGCCTGCCTCCTTGAAAAGGAAAGAAAAAAAACTCAGAAGTCAAACAGTTGGTGTTAGAAAAGCAGATGTATTCAGCCGAAGGAGATGGTAGGCTATCCCATCTCAAAGATTTACATTTACTGAGGGGTTTTTAAAGGAAGGGTTGAGGGAATGGAATGTGGGAGGTGAAAAGCAGGAGAGCAGGAGATGTGAGTTATTAGGGGTCCATTTCTATGGGTCAGGTACAGGGTCTTGCCAAGTCCTCATCTGGTTTCTGTTCTCATCTCTGCTGTTATATCAGGACCCTGCAAGATTTTGATTTGCGCTGGTGTACTTGGCTGGTGCCCAAGGTCAGCTTCCAGTCATTTGGCCTTAATCATTTCTCAAAGCTCTACAAGTCTCAAAGAAAGAACTGTTAGCTTTGCAGAGTACTAATTAGCTTCTTGGCCCTGTTTTCCTACTTAGCGAGCAAGATAAGAAAGTCAGGGGATGGGAAGAAAGAGTGGAGAGAAAAAAAACTGTCCTTTTAAAAATCCTCTCCCCCTCTGCAGCCCAGGCAGCTTTAGGTCCCAACATGGCTTCAGTCCTGTTCACTACAACACCCAGTGGTGCCTGGGTTATATTTTTAAAGTCATTGGTAGAAACTCATCTACAATTGAACATGCTGATAAGATTCTCATGTTCATTCATAGAAAAATACTATCGAGTGCTTCTTCGGGGGTCACCCCTAGCAGCTTTCCTTCTGCATTTCACCTAGTTGTATTGCCTTCTTGCTTCTGGGTTTTATTGCTGCATATATTTATCCAATGGATTTCCATTTGGCTGGAAAGGCAAGACAATTACCCCCAGATGTTCTTGGGTATAAAGAATAGAATTTTTTTTTTTTTTTCAGAGTGGCGGCCAAAAGATTGAAGGAGGGTGATATGATGATGGGGCAGCAAGTGGCCAGGTAATTATTTCCATTTGTCCCAATGCTTGGAAAATATGCCTCCCCTTACCTCTTGCTGGGCACTGTCTCTTTCCAGTGATCCTACAATTTCTTCAAGCTTTGTGGTTCACTCACTGTTTGATCTTAGAAGCAACTTAGGAAATCTGCCCGCTTCCTGACTAATTAGGAGGGAGGGAAAGATGTGAAATTGTCATTTCAGCCTCACTTCGCCATTCTTACTTTTAATTACTAAAAAAAATATATATTCATCCAGTTCATGATTATTGTAAAAATCAAATAAAACAAAAACTTTTATCTTGGAAACTGAAAGTTCCCTCATCATCTGAACCTTAAAGAGGACTTAGTGTATTATTATTTCAAAAACTGGGCTGGCTGGTTAGCTCAGTTGGTTCGAATGCAATGTCAGTAACACCAAGGTCAAGGGTTTGCATCCTCTCCAGCTGCCAAAAAAACCCCAAAATTGTTCAGTGCGCATACCTTTATATATATATATATATATATATATATATGATGACCATAACATAGTGAGAAAAAGCAATTTGCTGAAGGGCATACAAGCCCACTAAATATATATATTTAATGGGATGTATATATATATATTTATATATATATTTAGTGGGCTATATATATATCTATATAGATATATAGATATTTTTATATATATTTAGTGGGCTTACTATGTTATGGATATCTATTGTTAACTACATAAATATACCACCTTTTAATAGCTACAAAATATTCCATTGTATTCTGCCATTTAACTAATCTGCTACCGATAACTGTTTCCACTTTTTTCTATTACAAATAATTCTTCAAGGGTCATGTATGTATCTATATGTGTGTGTTTTTTTACTCTTTGCCCACTTAGATGAGTATTGCTTTACATTAAATTCCCAGAAGTATAAATTCTAGGTCAAAGGATGTATTAGTCCATTTTTGTGTTGCTGTAGAATACCTGAAACTGGGTAATTTGTGAAGAAAAGAGGTTTATTGGGCTCACAATTCTGGGACAGCTGCATCTGGCATGGGTCTCAGGCTGCTTCTACTCATGGCGGAAAATGGCAGGGCAGCCTGTGGGTGAAAGGATACCACATGGCGAGAGGAAGCAAGAGAGAGAGGGAGGGGAGGTGCTGGGCTTCTTTTAACAACCAGCTCTTTTGGAAACTAATAGAGTGAGAATTCACTCACTACCACACACGTGCTCACACACACACACACACACACACACACACACACAACTAACAGAGTGAGAATTCACTCACTACCACACATGCGCACGCGCACACACACACACACAACTAACAGAGTGAGAATTCACTCACTACCACACATGCGCACGCGCACACACACACACACAACTGATAGAGTGAGAATTCACTAGGGCCGGCCCGGTGGTGCACTGGAGAGTGCGCCGCTTGGGAGTGTGGCGGCGCTCCCGCCGAGGGTTCGGATCCCATGTGGAGACCGGTTCCCGCTCACTGGCTGAGCGCGGTGCGGGCGCAACGCCAAGGGTTGTGATCCCGTTACCGGTCAGTAAAAAAAAGACAGACCGGTTCCCGCTCACTGGCTGAGCGAGGCGCGGGGGCAACACCGAGGGTTGCGATCCCGTTGCTGGTCCC